TGCCTGCGGGGCTGGTGCGTCTACCGTGAGTCAGAGCTCCGTCACACACTCCTCAGCCTGGTCAAACAAGACACTCCTGGCTGGCGCAGGGCAGCGTGGTGCCAGCTTCCTTTCCCCTCCCTGCGCCCTTCCTAGGTTTCAACAGGCTTTTTGGTACAAAAGAGGCTTGGTTGTGCCCACCTGCCAGCTAACTTGATTTCTTTTGATTGCGCTGTAAAAAGAAGAGTTCGCTCTACTTATCATGTCTGTACTTTGGTTATAGTGTCAGGCTTGGGCAGATTAATTAGTTGTAGCTTTAACAGAGCTGTCAGGGTATTTAACCCGTTGGAGAAAAATTACCTAAGCTGATGATAAACAGGCTTTAAATGCAGAGCAATTACTTAGTGCTAACAAAGCACCATGACTACACACTTTGTCCAAATGCAAAAAGCAAAGTCTTATCAGTGGTTCTATTTGCAGGAGGACACTAAAAGATAACCTTTGTTTGTGCAAATACATACCTGATAAGATCATCGGGGAGGGGGGGGGGGGGGAAGAAGGGAACAGATGAAATTTCTGGTTCTATCTTGCCTGAAGGTTATGCTTCAGATTTCAAAGTATCAAAAAAAAAAAAAAATCACAAACTGAGAATGCTCAATTCTCTCTTTTGGTTGGACTCAAAGTCTCCAATGGTGGGTTTCTTTCCTGCTGGCATCGATTGCTTTTATTTCTAGCATGTAACAATAGAGCAATTTAGCGACCTTTAACCAATAGGACTTTGGATTTCATTGTTCATGGGAACTGGTGAAGCCAGAGGGCTGGTTTGCATTGAACTTGGTTTGTTCATTGCAGGCTTAACCCTGACTGGTAGCTAGGGTTTACAGCACAGCAATCCTCTGACTCACAACTCTTCTGTTTTGCACTGGTGATGAAACTGGTCCGGGAGTTTCCAAACTGTGAAAGCTTAGGTGGTGCTTTTAGTGGGACGTGCACTCGGTACCATTTGCCTCTCGAGGGTCACGGGTCACATTCTGAAGCAGCAGAGGTTTGAGTTTTTATTGTGATGAGTCTTAACATCTTGTGTTTGACCTCTGTCTAGCTCATTCCAGGTTTTTTCTCTGTTAAGATTTGACTGAAAGGACACTGTTTATTGAATGCTTTTAATTGAGCAGCTTAAAAAAAAAATAATCCAGTTAGTTATAGCACATTGATCATAAGATTTACAAAACTGACATCTTTTATTTTGCTTTCAAGTAACTTATCAGAGATTTCCTATTTGGTGTTTGTAAAGGACCTTTATATCAAGGAAAAAATAAAATGCAAGCACATGCTTTGGTCTTTTTGGATCAAGCCCTTATATTAAACCAAGCATGCTCAAAGCTCCACCTCATGCAGAAAGTAAATACGTATTTTCTAGTGAAATGTTTCTGACCGAAGTTATCTTAGCCTGCTCTGTGGTCTGCGTCAGATTTTTAGACATGAATGTGATTTTAGGTTGATTTAGATGCCATGTACTACTTTGTCTGGATGGTAACGCAATGGCATGGTGTTTGTGTGAGCCCCATCTCACCTGCTGTACTCTACTGACTTTGGGTTCCTTTGGCCAATTCCAGTTGACAGAGGGATGGCAATGGCAGACATTGCGTTCCTACTAGTTACATGAGAGGAAGTGTCTAGGTCAAGAAGCAAGAGGCTCTGAATTAGTCCTGTGTGCCCCCTAATGAAAAAGACTTTATATAAGCCTTCGCCTCATTAGGCTCAGAGAACCTGTGCAGGCAAGCAAGCCATCAGAAACTGGCTATCATTCATTTTTTTGCTTAATGGACTACCTGGTCTGTGTGGATTTCCTGCCCAAATGATTTGCTTACATTTTACAATGAGGTTTTTTTGAACATGTGTTTGAGTTTGATATTCTGGTGTCTCTTATGCTGTTGTTCCCCACCTATAGAGGCTGACAAAACTGGCAATAAACAGACGTGGATTTGGGATGTGGCTACACAAGTTATGTTCAGGTAGCTGTTGAGTTTCTGTTTTTCTTTCCAAATGAGACTAACAGAAGTTTTCTGGAGAAGATCGTAATTGCAGACATGCAGCACAGCAAGCTGTGTTTTTGAAAGAGCTGCCTAGCTCACCACAGGTGTGGTGGGAGCACTTCATTTATATTTTAAATGATCAGGGACTGAGCTGCCTATTTTTGGGTGATTTGAGTGGTTTCACAGTCATGGAGCTGTGTGTTCTCCACCTTTGGTGACTTGGGCACAGGTGTTGAGGGAGTGTTTTGCACCTCCACGTGTATTGGGAACCATACAGCAACTGGTCTGGCTGCTTCATAAGAAGTTTTGTAAATGCTGTTGTACATGTGAGCTCTGGCTGCTCAGCTGGTTTTCTGTGGACCACTACAATCAAACTGTGATTTTTTTTCAAGTTGATAGAAGGACTGCAAATCTGAAGCTGGACCAGCCTTACTTACTGAGGGTTTTCTAATGCCTCGGTTTCCATAGTGATGGAAATAAGCAATTTTCTCACTTGAGTGCTGGGTATGTGCGTGTGTGTATGTATCTTGCATAAGACTGGGAGGGCAGTGCCTACTTCTTTTCCTGGAAATAGATTTGGAAGGGAGGAGTGTTGGATGCTGGCTCTGCAGAGCTGCTGCTGCAAACTAACATATCAGGGAGGGGGACAGGTACAGGGAGAGGATGACTCTCACCAGGGCCTGTGGTGGCTGAGACCCCTCCTGGCAAAGGAAGTCCCTCGATCATGAGTTTGCTTTTCATCTGCACACTTTTTATTAGGAGTTAGAACTTGCAGGAAATAAAATGTAGTCTTTAAAGGCAGGGGAACATGATATTAGTCATCGATATTAGTCGTTGACAGTTTCTGCCTTATGGGCTATTCAGGCTATTTCCTGAAAAAGGAAATCTTTAATTAGCTAATTATTTTCCTTAGCAGTGCTGTAAGAGCATCAGCAAATAATACAGTTCCTGGCAAAGCTAACACACTGTTTAGTGCCTGCCTGTGTGATCAGGGAAGAATGATGGAGAAATTTTAATGAAAGAAATTCTGTCAGAACTGAAAAATACTAATGGCTTCGAAATGCTGTTCAAACTTGACTGCTTAGCAATCAATTTTAATAAATCTTCTGTGTGCAAATGAGGAATCCCAATGTCATATGTTGCCTGATATCTGGATTTTGACTGATTTCTAGTGGTCTTTGACATTTTACCAAAGGTATTACGAAGGTGTGATGCAGCAGAGCCACTGAAACACGTTCACCTCTAATAGGAGAGATGGTATAGCCTACAGAACTGAAAGGGGAAAGTGCAGTGTCCCAGTGAGACTGCAGCTGAGAACTGGGTGGGTAGAGTGGACATGCTTGGTGAGTCAGAAGGAGCAAGGGCACAGTCCTGCTCCAGAAGAGTGCCGTAAGATTGGCAGTGCCCAGTTGTCAGTGCCTTGCTTGTGGGACTCTTCCCCTCCCACCCCAATAAAGCTTAGAATATTTTTTTTTTCAAAGGCACAAAAGGAGTGTGAGACTTTGTACCACTCACCTGAAGAGCAATGAAAAGTCCTAGTCCCTCCAAGACAGCTTTGAAAGCCTGAGTTTAAGATAGTTGTTTAAGACAACTAGTAGAGTAGAATGAACTGAGGTGCTTCCATTATTTCTTAGATTCAGTTTTCTGTCAAAGATTGCAGTTGGTACTGTTATCCCTGCTGATCTGTGTTTTACCTTATTATGTTGTTGCAGCTTCTAAAAATCTCTTCTTGGAGTTTCTGTGTACTTTCTCATTAGTCTCATATCATGATCATGTGAGTTCATATCAGCCTTTCAGTATCTTTGGTTTTTTTTAACACGTCCAGTGGTCTTTCCGTTCACTACCATTCAGTTCTACCATTGCAAACTGGTCTTTGCCAGAGCTTTGTTCATGCATTTAATAATATCAAGAATTTCAGTTCTGTGTTGCCTTAAAACTATGTGATTGTAATGTGGGAACTGAGTTCACAATTTCATCTCTAGGCAAGGTGTAGTGTAAAATAGTTGTGTCTCTTGAGATATTCTGTTGCTTTTTTTGCAAGAGTGATGTGGTTCTCCACTCCCCACAGTACCTTAGTGTGGTGGTATATTTGTTCTGTGTGGACGGAAAATAAAGCTGGTCGACTGGTTGTTTCTCTGTGTGTGGACACAAAGATAGACATTCTAATTAGATGCACTGACATTCTCTTCCTGGCATCTTTATGGCAGATACATAGCTTTTCATAAACTTTTCTTGCTAATATCCACTTACATTTACAAGGCCCATTTTTCTCTGTAACATTACTTTAACCTAGTTTTTCATTTTACTGCAAGTCACTCTAATTAGGATGTCTCTTCTCTGTTCAGTTGTCTGTAATTTAGTGTTACCGAACAGGTCTGTCAGTGGATAATCAATGGTCTTGCCTCAAATCTTGGTTTATGTAAGGAAAATATGCCTTTCTCAAATAAGTTGTCACAAAGTCTATACCAATACATATATTTCTGTATGCAAAAGAGAATTTACATGAATCAGCTTTATGTTGGAAGAACAGCATCTGCATTATATTTTTCCCAATATAGTTATATCAGTTACAAAACCATAAATCACATCTGTTAACTGTTACAGCTTTCTAGCAGACCAGGAATCTTGTACTGAAAACTGTAAGAAATAGTTTTAATGCATAGCTTGAGTTACTTGTTTTTAGTACTGGGTTAATTGTTTAAAGAAACACCTTCTGTGCTCAGGATGAGCTTTCAATGGCTGTAAATGTCGTGGTACATGCTTACCCGACAGTTAGAGAGCGGCACTGGCACAGCATTCATTCTTATTGTGGAATTGTGCCCATGAGAAATGCTGTAACAGTAGCTGGTGCTTATAGGGTGACGTAATTCCAGTTTCTGACAAGCTCGCTCTCTAGCATCATTGTTCTGCAGTCTTTTGGTGGGGAGAAGAAATCTTTGAGTTTCCCAGTCAAAAAGGCATGACCACATCCATTTTTCTGTTTTGCAGGATCTTTCCCAGAGAGTATCTTCTCCAGCAAATCCATCTTTATTCTCTCGCAGACCTTCAGCAGGTAAGTTTCTTCAACTAATTCTACCTGTTACGCGTCAAGCCTGTTCTCATCTTCAATGCTAATTGTACATTTCCCCTTCTAGCTAATCGTAGCATAAATAGCTTTACTTCCAAGCCATCTCTGTGGTTTATAGTTTAATATAAAAATGGGTTAACAGGGGCATTGGTTAGGGATGAGAGAGAGAAAACCTAGAGCATCAGTGTTGAAATGGGGCTAAAAAGAGGCTCTGAAAGAAAACTGTAGTCTGCAAAGAGACCTTTGCTGTGAGAAATTTTTCATCTGATCAATGAAGGCCCATCTAAGGCTCAGCCTACAGGTGACAAGTAGTATTTATTTCTTTGCTTGTAAGAATAGTTATTCAGGAATTCACGAGTTTGCAAAGTCCCTAGTGCAACATGCTTATTTACAAAGCCTGCTAGGCATTACCACAAGAGGGGAAAAAAACCCCCAAAACACACACACAAAAACCTCAGCAAGCCTGCTACACAAAGTTAAGCCATGCAGTGTTACTATGACAGACGTGACCACAGAAGAGGTAATGTGTCAGCAAAACGTGTCCTTGCTTTGATATTGGTTGAACTAAGCAAGCACCTTGCAGTACATCTACCTGAACAGCAGAATTTTGTTACATACCAGATTAAACAAGAAGAATTTGGCAAAAAGAGCTGAAAAGAGAGGATAGGGAATCTAAGGTGAATGTGCTGCAGTGCTCAGATGCACAATGGAGGAAGCAATGAGGTAAGACGTGCTAGCTGACCTGGGCACGTCTGTGTTCACACTAATGCCTTTACTAGTGATATGTAAAACACATTATTTTAAGCTTCTGCCACTGATGTTTCCCATGTATAGTGGTGCCTTTTCTGCAGGATAATGGGTAGCATAGTCAGTTCTGGATGTTTAGTTACCACATTGAAGTTGAGGTAGTTCAGATGCCCCTCAGGGCTGGAGACTAGAGAACTGCAGGAAACATGGCTTTTGTTGGCTGGTGAAGTCACAAAGTAGAAATGGTTCCATATAAAAAGGCCAGTAATCTGAGGTCTAAAACTTTCCACATCTTTTCAGCATGTTCTGCTATCTCATCTTTAATAATCAAGCCATGAAAAAGCAAGCTACTTAACGCCAGAGTTTTGTTGGCTGGTGAAGTCACAAGGTAGAAATGGTTCCATATAAAAAATAAAAAGGCCAGTAATCTGAGGTCTAAAACTTTCCACATCTTTTCAGCATGTTCTGCTATCTCATCTTTAATAATCAAGCCATGAAAAAGCAAGCTACTTAACGCCAGAGTTGCAGTCTCCCTGGTGGGCCTGTCCATTAGCCCCCAGTGCTTTGTAAGCTGCTTAATCAGTTCCAAACATTGGTAGTAGATATTTTAGAAGCAATCAGCAGCTTATCAAGCACCCTGTGGGAGGGAGGGAGGGTAGAAGTCACAATTCATCCGTTGATTTAGCAGTTCCCTTTAGCATGTTTCTTTGTGTTTGTGTTTGCAAGACACCTTCTCTTCCCTTGGGGGCCCCAGCCCCAAACTTATCATGTTTAGAGGCATTATAATTTGATTACCATTTCTGCTGGGGTGGGTTAAATTGCATTTACCTTTTAATCTAGCTATATCCTGGTTGTCAGCCTGGAGAGGGTTTTCCACATTTCAGAGGCTCCAAGTCTGAAATTGGATTGCCTGTTTTTGTCAAAGTGGAATCAAAGTGGGAAGGGGAGGAGGGCCCCATTGAGAAAATGAATCCAACAGCCAGAGGAATACTAATACCCTTACAGCCCCTGCCTCCTCCCTGGTTTGCCCCTTACCACTGCTTTCTCCTGATTGCTCATCATTTTCTCCTGACTTGCAGTTTGGGTGGTTTTTAATACTAATTGTTTCCCTTCCTTTTGATTCCTCTGCTGCCCATTTCCTCATATCCATGGACTGCTTTTGCACTGTATCCTGCTGTCATGTAGATTGTGTGTGTTTGGGGAATTAACTAAAAGGTTTATTAAAGATTAATGGAAAGATAAGGCATGGTGAGTGAATTAGAAAAGCAGAGTGGGGTAATCTGCAGATATAAGCAACCTTTACCCTGGTTAGTCCCAGCTCAATTCTGATTTGTTTCCTAGCTAAGTTCTCTTTAAAGATTCTAGAAAACATGGGTCGTTTCCCACCAAGCAGCTGAGTTTCAAAAACATGGTGTGAGGGTCTGCTCTTAGGCGTAAAAAAGTTGAAATGCCTGTTTGCCAGTACATGAAGCAGCATATAGTACTATTCTAAAATTAAATCCAATTTAAATCTCTTTCCAAGCTTAACAAAGTTCCATGCCTAGACCTTATGGATGTGGCAGAGTACATACTTCAGCTAGCTGATGGTCTGGGGATGGCTGTCACTTGAATCTATTTGGACAGGGGAAAACCTTAACTGTGAGGTTAAAAGCAGAGTGGAAAAAATTGAAACAAAATGTCCTTAATTTTGGAAACTCACCGAATCCTGGTGAGGTAGTGGTTTTGCTGGTACTTTACTCATTAACAAATGCTCATAGTGCAGATGTGAGTAGGCCTGACCTTTAACCAAAGAGGCAGCAAGTGATGGTCTTTATTTGTATACGCATGCTTGTTTAAAATAAACACAAATGCACACATATACCCCAGCAAGTTTTCATGGCAGACCAGGACACCAGGGACTACATTAAAGTTTACAGCAAGTCTATCTATGGGCATTCCCATGAGGTACACATTCTTAGAATCCTCTTGTCTTTGTTGTCATTGGAGGTGTTAGCAGACGAGATAACTAATTAGGTGCATTCAGATTTAACAAGCAGAAACACAAAGTGTGACAGCTTGCCTGTTCTGCCCTATTGGCTACACTTGCTTTCCTTTCCAACCCTCCCTGGCGTCATCTGCCCGGGGAGTCATCTGTCACCCATAACACCACTGCATCTCTGTTAGCCAGTTTATCCAGGTCTATTCCAATCAATTAACGCTTTAAAGAGAGAGACCTCCAGTTGTTAGGAAGCAGATATTCACTCCTGAAATTGCTGGTTTTGGCAGACATAGTACACTGGAAAAATGGATTACTCTTATTTACGTGCAGTATAGTCCCTCATGGTGCAGTCACAGTCCAGGGTAGCTTCACCCTAAACCTACTGGAATTGTGAACTCTGTTCTCTGCTGACACTGTTAAAGGTCGTATCACTGGTTTTGTGGACATGCAGACACAGTTCATGCAAGCTGGAGTTAAAAACTGTCCATTCGTTTTGTGTAACTAAGGGGCTGCTTTTGCTGCAACTAACAGTTTTTACTCTGTTAAACATTGATTTGGACAGAAGCTGACTCAGACAAGACTCTTGCTTTTCTTAGGAAAAGTAATTCTTGCTACTTACACTAAATTCCATATTAACAGGAACTTTTAAACTAAAAGACTTGAAGTAGCTATTGTGACGAGTTCAAAATTCAGGTGCTTAACTCACACAGAGACTTAACTAATGTCTTGCCTGTTTTTTATGTTAAATAGCAAGATATACAAGTGTACAAAGATTATTGCAGGGATGGTCTTTACTGTAGAAACACTGTTAGTCATGGCAATTATTTCATCCTGGTTATACTACCCCCAAAAGTTAGTAAAATAGAAAGGATCCACGTAACGGCAAAAATTACTGGAGGTGAAGGATAGAAACTGTGAGCAAGATAGGAGATTTTATTAAAAAGACGATGATTTGAAGACTTGTTTACACAGGAACACTCAGAAAAAAAATGAAATGACAAAATATGAGAATTTAAAATGATGAGTTGAATTACATTGAATCACTGTGTAAATACTGTTATTCAAAATATAAGTGGCTTTCATTTGGTTTATCTCCATTTACTTTGGAAACGAGGTGAGCTAAACTGTATTAAAGCCATTTTCATTCTGAATGTGTATGTCCATACAGGGATTTAATGTAATATAATTTATCCATTAAACATTGTAGATAAACTAATCTGTTAAAATTTAATTAAAACATTCATTTACTTCAGATTAACTTCCCTGACTATCTACCTGTAGATGAACCTACAAACAATGTGAAGAACAGTGGAAAGAAAGGATGAACAGGAGAGCCCTATTCTCACAATAATATAGCACAGGTCATACAGTGAATATGAGATACGCATAAAAATCCTTAATGGAAATGCTTCTTTGCAGAATACAGAGTGAGCATGAGGAACTTAATGCCACAGTAATATTACTGAGGCCAGAAGTTTATCATCTTTGAGAGGATTAAGTATCCATAATGAGGATGTCCACAGTTACACTACGTAAGATAAAGAGATTATAAGGTTTCAGAAAAGGCATATTATTTACTGTGGGGATTAGGAAGATGTCTTCTCTGTTGACAGATGGATCAATGATTTCATGTTCCTCTGACATATATAGTACTGATTACAGTGTCTGATAGGGTTTTAGACAAGGTGAACAGTTGGTCTAACAGAAGCATTCCCAATATGAAAATCTTAATGTTTCTGTTCAAGATTTTGTGCATATAAGGTTCCCTAACAAAAATGTGGGGAATAAAAATGAACTTCAATGAAACATAAGTTCTACCTAATTTGATCCTAGTATATTGTTAGATCAGGATTAGGAAGCTTTAGAATAACAAAGAAATTGTTAGGTCTTGTTCATTTTTTCAGGCTTTTAACCCATGCTGTACTTTCATCACACCTCTTTTTCCAATGGCAAATTTGGGTCCTCCCTGTATTTTCCTAGACTGAGATGGAGGAGGAGATTGGAGATGCTCTTTCTAGCATTTTTACATGTGCAAAACTTTAGGTTGATTTAGACAAGTTGTTTCATGAGTCCCAACAATAGCAAAGACTGCAAGGAGATGTGAACTTTTTTTTTGTTTTTACTTGCAGTTTTTTTCAGAAGTAAAACTTCTTTTCTGATCACTCAGTCCTCATACAATTACTGAGAAATGTTCAGCTTAGATTTCTAAGATACAGTCTGAAGACTTCCAAGGCCATGAGTGGTGGTGTCCTTGCCTAGC